TTTTTGTTCTCACTTAAAAAAAAAAAAAATTGAATGTTACGTTTTGAAAATTTGGCTTGATTTTGGTTTTATGTTAAAAAATTAGAAACAAAAACTGAAAAGGTTATCAAACAATGATGTGTCGTAATCTTCATAAGTCAGTTTAACAATGAGCAAAGTTATGAACATGACCTGGTTGTAAAAGATTCCCAAGAGAGCCAGCTCAACAGCCATATTTATATCAGCATCGTCAAAGATCACAAGGGGTGACTTGCCTCCTAGTTCGAGTGAAACTTGTTTTAGATTGCTTTTTGCAGCAGCCTGCATAACTTCACGCCCTACTCCGTCGACCCAGTAAAAGCGACCTGAAATATTACAGATTCCGGCAAGACATTCACGTACTGTCCTCAAAATTTCGTAAACATTTTCCCCAGAAGTGACACAAGTTTTGAAGGAATAGAAAAACAGGAATTTACCTTGTCTATGTCCATATGATGGCTGATGGCAGCACCAGCAGTCTGTCCAAATCCAGTTATGACATTGAGCACTCCATCAGGAACACCAGCCTTCATAAGAATTTACATGCCGAAATCACCACTAGTGAGCCACATTGGTAATCTTACCGATATAGTTCAAGTAAGCTACCGATTTGATCTCTAAATTATTACCTTAGTGAAAAATGATTCTCTATACAATTTTTTTTCATTAAACTCGGCAATCATTGTCAATTTCCCCCTATCATCATATTCAAAGTCATTCCATCCAATATTCCGTCAATTTAAGTCACTTGACACACTTAAAGTATAATATTGTCATTACTCGTCCATGAGCCCTTGTAGCAATGAAATTAGCATAGGTTTGATCGTGCCTGTAATGTTGTAACTTGTAAGCTTAATCAAACATAATTTCACTGCTAAAGGGATTTCATGGGCATACCAATATTATCCTCTAACCGTGTCACACGACTTAAATTGACGGAAGACTGGATGGAATGGTTTCGAGTCTAAAGGTAGGAGGGTAACTGACAGATTTTTACGAGTTCAAGGTCCACAAGAGTTAGCTAAACATAGAGCTATAGCATGATTAACTGAGCTTATACCAGCTTAGCTAGATAAGCGTAGTAAATCGCCGATAGAGGTGTCTGCTCGGCAGGTTTGACGACCATGGTGCACCCGGCGGCTAAGCAAGGGCTGACCTTCGTGAAAAACAGGGTGCTCGGGAAATTCCAGGGAATGATGTGTCCTACAACACCAATGGGTTCGAGCAACGTATACGCGTGAAAATCACGCGACATTTTGAGCACCTCCCCGTGGATTTTGTCGGCTGCGCCGGCATAATAACGGAGAGAGTTCGCCACAGAAGGTATGCCTGCGATCTTGCCATCGCCGAACAAATTTCCGGCATTGACGGTATCCAGGCTGGCTAGTTCTTCTACATGTTGGTCAATTAAGTCCGCAAATTTCAGCATTATTCTTCCTCTCTCCTGAACATTATGCCATGCAATAAGCAAATTAGAGTGTTGTTGACCCGTTTATTAATCGGGCTTGGACACATAAAGTTAATATATTATCGATGGTACATACTAAAAAGGTGGGCTCTATCATTGTATATCGATTTCAGATTATCAACAAGTATGTTAGTTTTGTGTATATCAGTTCTACAATATCAAAGTCGGAGTAGGAGATATTTGTGAGTTTTGCAATATTGGTTGAAATGGGAACTGACTAAAACTCGGGGCAATGCTATCAATATGGAGAAGATGCTGCTAAACTAAGAGCTAGTTGGTACCAAATATATTTTGAATATGAAAAGTGGATCAAAATTGATGCACTTACATTTTTTTTCTGAACAAAATATGAACTTTAAACTTATTAAATATGAATAATACTTGCATTCCCTCTTTGGGGATGAGTTCATTCCCTCACTTACAAACAATGTATTTTAACCGTAAATATTTTATAATTAAAATAGTTCAATGTCTTTATCTTCATTTGAAGATCAACCCTATAAAGAATCAGTCGAAATGGAAATCGTTTATTCTCCATATGTTTCAAATAATGGATGATTCATTATTAATATGTTATTTGATACAAACACCATTGATTTATTTGATACAATTTGAATGACTAAACGATATTTGATTCAAATTATTTTTTTTGTAAAAATGATCTTGAAATGAAGATTAAGACATTGAATGGTTTCAATTATAAAATTTATATGTTAAAGATACATTTATTGCAAGTGGAGGAATGAACTTATAAAAAAATATAAGTACTATTTCAAATGGAATATTAAATGACCATTTCTACTTATATTAATAAAAAGAATGCACATAAGGCATTAAGCCAAAATGATTCCTTAAATTGGCATAACTCTTCACTTTGGTCTCTAAAATTTGAAATTGATACAAATGATCTATGAATTTGTCCATCATCAATTATTTTGGTCATTCCGTGAAAAATCTCTATTAAATAAGGATAAAATGACAAAAATACTTACAAACTTAGAGATCACTCCTATCAATTTCAAATCTTAAGGACCAAAATCAAGAGTTATGCAAATCTCAAAACCATTTTGATTAAAAAGCCTATACATAATAAAAATGATTATTCGTTGTTCCATTTGCACAGGAGGAGATCTTTGCAGGTACTCAACACAAATAGAATAATAGTTTTGGAAAAGAATAATAATACATGCAAAACATGCATTATTTGAGAGATTTTTCAAATGTTGTAAGTGCTTATGGCGTCCAGGCGTGGTCAATAATAATGGTACCTAACCCAACTCAACCCAAATCATATAATTCTCTAACACGGATTGGAGATGCTCTAATAATTTTTAGAAAACATGGAATCCCAACAAACAAACAAAAACTAAAAGAGACCAATAATGCATATAAAGTTCGGAAAGACAAATAATGAGCAATTTATTAATTAGTTGGAATTTATTTTTAAATGTCATATGAACTTATATTTATTTTTCAATTTGTCATATGAACTAAAATTTTAAACGATTTATTATATCAATTTTTCGAAATCATTAAGTTGTCACCTTACCCTAAATTCGTTAAGTTTTCCATCTAAATAAGTTATGTGAAACACACATGACTTGTTTTGAAGGTTATTTCAGATATTTTAACATCTCACTCCCCTTTAAAAAGTTGTCTTTAACAAAATTAATTCTTGAGTTTTCTCAAAAAATACCAAAAGGGGGTTAATGTGGTATACGAGGATACGAGGGTTGCTGTTTGGAAAAGAGGAAAGACCCGCACTCTCATCTTTGTGTTTCGAAAATGGTAAAGCGAATGCTATTCTTTCGGTTGAAATGTTCGAATTAACCATGAACACAAATCGTGCAGAGCACATGATTTATTTTGTATGAAAACTTAAAGGAAGTTAGGGTGAGATGATAAATGAATGATTTCAAAAAATTAGTATGACAAATCGTTAAAAATTTTAGTTCATTTAACAATTAAAAAAAATTATATGACATTTAAAAAAAAATCTCTTAATTAGTACGATGAGGTTTTGTTGTTTGCTACTTGACTAATTAAAGGAAAGGGATCCTCTCCGAATCCCTTCCATCTAATCCTCTTCATCAAACAATCCGGACCCTTGAAATTTGATCAAACGATTAAAAATACGGACCCATTTTAAAGTTATAATAATTTCAGCCGTTTGATCAAATTTCAAGATCCGAATTGTATGATGTGGAGGATTAGGTGGAAGGGATCCGGATGATCCCTTTCCATAATTAAATGTAATTGCAATGGCAATATATATAATTTATATCATGTGACGGTATTCTAATTTTCACATAGTAAATTCTTTTTCGAGGGTACGATTTAGGGTGCATACACTGCCGGGCAAGCGAGGCCAAGGGCCATTTTCGAAGGCAGCGCGTGCAGCCTCGACAGCCAAATCAACATCTTCCTTATCTCCTTCTGCAACTCTAGCTATCACCTCCCCTGTTCTTGGATCCATCGTCTCAAATGTTTTCCCTATTCAAAAACAAAACATGCATTTAACAATTTATGTATGTGAAGGCTAGAGGGCGAGCCTTGATACAGCTGAGAAGTTGCTCTTTTGTGACCGAAATGTCACAGGTTTGAGTCGAGGAAAACAATTTCTTTGCAAAACAAGAGTAAGACTATGTACTATAGATGTTTCACCCGACCCTCACAAAGCGGGGAGCTTTGTCGGCTTGGGGTCGGCCTTATGTATGTGAAAGCTAATAGCTTTGTTGGGAAGGAAAAAAATGAAGAGAACCTGAAACGGAATCAACGAATTCTCCATTGATGAAGAGCTTGGTGTACTTTATTGTCGGAATCTTGACGGAAGACTCAGAAGCTAAGCTGCCGTTGGAATCACTAGCCATGGCGGTCCTCTTCCTCACCGTGATGTGCTCTGTTTTGCTTGTGTAGAAAATGAAACTCTTGTATCTGCTATATATAGAGAGAGCGCATTATGCAGTAATAAAACTTAAAATGTTTTTCTATTTTTTGAAGACAGCATTAGTATAATGTTAATGAATATTAAATTTTGATTAATTTGTTAAATTATTCATAGTGTGAAAACATAATAAACACGTTAGCCTAAATTAGTTTCACTTAGCTGTTAAATGACGTAATTTTTTAAACTGGTTACAGGACATGCATTTATTTAATATAATATTCTGTGTGTTTGGTTCAAAATCTAACCGCCATATGATATATTGATATATACTAAAAGTTGATATGAATATAAATCGAGACTTCCAATATTATATTTCAACCAAATCATTTGACATGATGAATCCAAACTCTTAACAAGCACATCCAACTTTCAAGGTACACACAAGACGATATTGCATCCAACGGAGAGAATCAAAATCTTGACATTATGAATGTGAAGGTATACATCCATGAAGAGATTGTTCAGTGTGACCGGAACAGGGTTCGGTACGCCACATGTCATTATACAATTGGAATGACTCTTAAAAAAAAAAACTTCCATCATCTAAGCTATATTTTTTGCTTCTAACTATTGCGGATACGAAGGAGGCTGGTACGCTGGTGGAGCAGCACTTGCGTACCCGTAGTTGGTCTGGCCACCATAAGCACCACTACTTCGGAAACCGGCAGCACCCATGCTGTCCCCAGAGAGGGAGTAGTGTTGCGACGGCAGAGCAGCGGGGCTTTGAGCAGGGGGAGCTCCGTATGTGGATCCATATGATGCTACTGTTGGACCATCGTGGCTCGGGTAATTATAAGGACCAGAGTATCTTGTTGCAGGGCTATGCTGTGGAAGAGGATTTGGGTTCCTGCGGGTGAAGGAGGGGTATGCATTGGAAAACTTGGAGGCTTTGGCAGGGCGGGAAGAAGACTGTCCAACCCCTCGGCCACCACTCCCGCCACTGACGCTGCCACCGTAGGCTCGCTTATTATTATGAGGCTTGCTGGAAGATGCTGATCTCTTTTTCCGTTCTGTCCTGGCTTTCTCCAGATGAGCGGCCCGCTTTCTTAAGTTCTCAAGAGAAAACTCTGATTCAAGCTTGTGGTCTTCTACACATTTGATGATTGCTTTGATGGAATTCAACTCAAATGTGCTCGACTCCTCCTGTAAGATGGACTTCACTTAATAAATCTCCCAAAAGTGTGCAGAAACTCTTCTGATTACAGAGTGAAAAAACAAAACTCCATTGGGGAAACTAAAGACAAAAGGAAAGTTACACATAGAGTAGCAGCCACACTATTATTGCCATTCTTCAATATGGTCGCAGCATTCTTTCTGGAGTTCTTGAGATACGACTTGAGCAGAGAAACAGGAGGAAATCTCTCAGTCAAATCAGACTCAGAAGCAAAATATACAGCCTCTATCTCCTTGCCATTCTTCACTAACTCATCAATGACATCTGTACAAATCAGAAATTCATCAAGTATACACAACGGGCAATGCTTACAAAATGAAAATCTAGGTAATCGAGTAATGATGCTGAACCAAATAAGAGGGAAGAAGAACAAAGAAAGATCTTCTAAAAGAAAGATTTTACACTACTTTTGTGCCATGCAGTACCGACATTCTATGTGGCCTCTTAGCAAATGATGATACAATCACATTATATGAACTTTAATTAGTTTTCATGACACAGTTTCAATTTCTTTGCTTTGTTTGGAAATTTGTGCATTTATCTTCGGAGCACTTAATCGATTTAGCTTGCAGTTTAACTTTGAGAATTCTTAATGTATTTTGGTTTTACCTGAATTCCATTTCTGTGATTGTCATCCTTAGTCGGTGGTATTATCTTTACAATGGATTTAAATTGTGGATTTAGAGAATCTAATAACTAAACTGAATTATATGTTCCATGCTTTTCGTTTTCATTTATGATTAAAAAGTTGGAGCTTTGGATCGGGATTTTTCTTTATTCAACTATAATTTTGTGCTTAGGAGACTATCTGAAACTGCTTAAATTTGTTTGCGTAGGAACTTTTTTTTTCTTTTCCCTGTAACCTGTTTTGTTAAAGGTGATAATAAAGATTTATCAATATTGTTTGTTCGGAGTTATGTGGGAATTGGAAGGGAGAAAATTGTGATCGTTTATGCAGCATTTGATAAAATTGAGAAATAAAATTGGGAAAATAATGTTAATAGTCTGTAGATGCTTAGGAGACTGTCTGGGGCTGCTTAAATTTTATAAATTCAGTTGCATAGAGTCGACATGGCATACCCAACCATGGTCAGATTGCCACTCTTAGTTGGTGGTATTATCTTTACAACACATTTAAATTGAGGATTTAGAAATCTAATAATAAAACTGAAATATGTTCCATGCCTTTTGTTTTCATTTTGGGTTTTGGAGCCTTAGATTGGGATTTACCTTTAGGGAAATTTTATTTGGACCCATATAACCTCTTTTTACACCCAACTTACTTTCTACAGTCATATTACTTTTAACTAATCTATAAATATCTCTTTAAACCCAAATTTACGACCTAAACTACTCTCACAAACCCAATTCAATAAGTAAATTTATCTTTACATCCATTTAGAAAATACATATCCAAACTCGAGAACTGTATAATACTTGAAATGAAGCATTAAGAACTGTACCAACTATGAAGAAAATCCCAGCAATTAAAATGGTCAGCCTTCGCCCAAGCCTTTTGGTAGTGCATGTTGCAAAGAAGGACGATACCAAAGCAGCAAGGTACAGCAAAGAGGTGAACAATTGAACAATTGCAGGCCTTGATTGTTAAATCATGGACTGATGCCAAGCAAATTAAAATTTTATGGTATAGTCTCCATCTCCATGTTCTTTGTTTCTTTTTATGCTTTAAAATACAAAAAAATAATAATATTGTAAGTGTTGGTTGTCATGATCACATTCTAATGAGAAAAATGGAGTATTGACTTAAGAATTTAATTCAATTGTAGTTTTGGTTTTTAATTTAAAAATTCGTGAGTCATGGTTCCGAACTTGTAATAGTGTAGATCGATGATCTTTTTGGATAACTCAGTTAGAACTTAGAACTTTTTTCTCTTGTAGCTCTTCGTTTTAGCCAGAATGAACATAAGATAAAGATTGCGTGGTGGTAGGGTTTGATTATTGTGTGTGGGTTTATTAATATATTTTAGTTTCATTGTTAATTTCATCTTGTACTTGATAGTAACTATGCAATAGGGTAAAAATGACTATTCACATTTAAAGTTTAAGTTGGGTGTAGAGTGATATTATATGAGTTCAAATAAAATTTCTCTTACCTTTATTAACCTATAATTTTGTGACCAGCACACAATCTTGGGAGTCCTAACATGATTGTTCTTCTATTTCATAGATTTGAAATGTGTTTAATATCTCATTTAATTGGTGTACCTTTGCTCATTTAACTCAAATTTAATACGATTTGGTCCTCCAATTTCTCTGAATTGCAAACGGATTTACTTTCTTTGGAAATTTTAGGAACTTTGGTTGTGGGAGGAAGAAGTCGGTTCCTTGCTATTTTTAGGTATACAATTAGAAATCGGAGGGTTTAAGGCATTGCACTTGCTTTGGATGTGACTGCCAGAGAAATTCAAGCCTCTACTAAGATAATTATCAATAATTGGATTATTTAATGCGATCAAACGTGGTAATGAAATGTTAAATTTGATGGCTACAAGTTTCTAATTAGATTGCTAATGCTGCAATTCATGATGATCAATATGTTCTGACTTAAACAATTACTGCAAATGTATCGTTGCTTTGTGATGAATGAGTTATCTTTTGCATATAAGACTTTTTGTTTCTGGATACCAAGTCTAAAATAGAGATTTCAGAGCAAAACGTTGATCGAGTATAAGCGAGTTGTGATTTTGTAGTTTTTATATGTTTCCAGATAAAAGTTAGGATCTGCAGAGATTAGAAAGTGAAAAAGGGCAAAGGAAAACGATGTTGAGTCATGAAAGATGGTTCAAATCACTGTTGGAGGTACATTGGATTTATGTTTCTGATGTGTTAAGTACATTGTTAGGACTATAGATTTGGATTGAACTCAATGTTCTCAGTGTGTATATTTAAATAGATGTGTGTATGAATATATGTGTGTATAAATTTATACATAAAAGGGAAGATGGATGGATATGTGTATTCTTATTCTTACTGTGTAAAAGAAGAAGAGAAAACGAAAACCACACCAAACAACTGGCATTTAAAGCTCTTTTTCCTTTTCTCTTTTGACATATTTCTCTCTTTGTTAGATAGCTAGGGGACTGCACTGTGAGGGCCATGTATGTTTTATTATGGTCGTATCTATAGTTTTGGGAACTGGAGAAAAGAAGTGGAACAAACCATTTGCATGGCAGAGGCCGACTTGATTCTTTCTCAAATTTGTAGTGCACAAAAATGGTTTAGTATATATGTGAAGGGGATGAGAGAAGGCAAATATGCAAATGTTGTATCAGAGATGATTCCTTTACAGAGTTCGGTGCTTACATTTGTAGTTTTAAGATCATTGTGGATGTTTCATAACATTGAATGATCCCCTATTCCAGTGTGGATGTTTCATTGTACAATGTGTTTATATGTCAGCTCACTTGAATGTATATAAAAGCAAAAGTGTTTATCTTATCGACCTTATTCACTCATGTATCCCTTTGTTTGTTCATAATTGTTTTGAATTTATTCAACTTAAATGTGTTTTATTCATCCGATTACGCATGAAACAGCTGGTTCCCGCAGCAGCGCGCGGGCATAATTTCTAGTATCATCTAAAGAGGGACTACGTACAAAGCCATTCCTTTCTCTCAAATACCATAAGGGACTCAATGTCACTTCTATTAAATGGGATGCTATATTGAACTGTCTGTAGACATAAGGCTACCAACCTAATACAGGAGCATAAAAATGCATTAATGCTCGCCTAATATAAGAGCAGCAAAAACCTTTTCAGCAAAACCAAAAACCACCAAAAGGACCGCTGAATCAAACGAGGATACAATAGGGATACTGAACTTTAAATTAACATGAAGCTAGCTTTGGGCCACTAAATATAGCTTAAAGTGCAAGACAGTCTAATAACCTATTAAGGGACGTAACATTAACCTCAAGCATGTAATCCAAAATGATGGAAATTCAAATCAAATGATGTTCTTGCACTCTAGGTATCTATCTTAATGTGCCAACCTAGGTGCTTTCTAATGCTCTCCAATCCACAAAACTGATTTGAAAGTATAACTTGCATCTCAAACAATCACCAAATTATATCAAAGTTCAGAGAAATGAAAATTTGAGACAAAATAAAGAAACTTGGTCAAACATTTGGATAGTAAGAGAGAGGGAAAGCGTTAAATCAGAAAGATTCTCCTTCATGTAAAGCTTATGATGGCTACACAGCAAGAGAGTTATGAAAATTAGCACTTACTGACACAGCAGGTAACATGAAACATGAAAATGGTGTGAACGCATCCGTGCCTACTGTTAACACTGTTGCACATATAAACTACATACACAATCATTTGTGAAGGAAGCTTGCATTCTTATCGTTAATGCACGATAAGGCCATTCGTCAACCAAATTAAACACAATTAACTACACGTTCTAAATACAATGAACTGCACGTTATAAACATCTACGGAAACCAAAATAAAGGAAGCAAATTTGATTAGTAAAATGAGATTGTCAATTTCTTAGGCAATGCATAATACTTCTAAAAGTAAAATCCGAATGACAAAATTAGAGTTCAAAACTTCTGAGATTTCATAAAAATTTTGAGGGACGCCGCTATTCTTAAAGCCGGTGCGTTTTTAGCAAGTTTGTGGACAAAACTCGCCATCTGGGGGCGGCAAGAGGAGGAGAAATTGATGAATCACAGGTTGCTCCGTCGCAGAGCGACGCACGGTTTGGAGGATTTGAAAAGATTGATTTGCTATGGCGTTTTTGGCTATGCCGAAAGGGTTTCGTTTCGAAGAGGAGAATGGCGACCGCAGGGAACAAGAAAGAGCTGATGGTGAATTGAATTCAGGGGATATTGCAATACATTTCTCACCATTCAATTCATAAAGCACAGGCTGAAACAGGTGATATTGCAAAACATTTATCACCATTCAATTCAGGGGATATTGTGCCGAAGCAATTTATAAAGCACAGGCTGAAACAAGTGAAATCAAAGGGCATTACTTAAACGCTACTGCAGGTACATGTGAAGAGATGATCAAAAGAGCTGTATTTGCCAGAGAATTGGGGGTTCCAATCGTAATGCATGATTACTTAACAGGGGGATTCACTGCAAATACTAGCTTGGCTCATTATTGCCGAGATAATGGTCTACTTCTTCACATCCACTGTGCAATGCATGCAGTTATATCGATAGACAGAAGAATCATGGTATGCACTTTCGTGTACTAGCTAAAGCGTTACGTATGTCTGGTGGAGATCATATACACGTTGGTACCGTAGTAGGTAAACTTAAGGGGGAAAGAGAGATTACTTTAGGCTTTGTTGATTTATTACGTGATGATTTTGTTGAAAAAGATCGAAGTCGCGGTATTTATTTCACTCAAGATTGGGTCTCTCTGCCAGGTGTTTTGCTTGTGGCTTCAGGGGGTATTCACGTTTGGCATATGCCTGCTCTGACCAAGATCCTTGCAGATGATTCTGTACTACAATTTGGTGGCGAAACTTTAGGACACCCTTGGGGAAATGCACCTGGTGCCGTAGCTAATCGAGTAGCTCTAGAAGCATGTGTACAAGCTCGTAATGAGGGACGTGATCTTGCTCGTGAGGGTAATGAAATTATTCGTGAGGCTAGTAAATGGAGTCCTGAACTAGCTGCTGCTTGTGAAATATGGAAGGAGATCAATTCGAATTCGAAGCAATGGATACTTTGTAGTCCAGTAATTACTTACTGTTAGTTCTCTTAATTGAATTGAAATTAAACTCGGCCCAATCTTTTACTAAAAGGATTGAGCCGAATACAATAAAAAGATCCTATTGTATAGATGTATAGATTTTTGAGAGATACATACTTATATAGATATACAAGATCTTAAATACAAAAATATAAGACGAAACAACTTAAACGCTTTTTTTTATTGTTGTGTTGGATCCACAATTAATCCTATGGATTCCTAGGATTGGTGCATTCTTATACTATTTTTTTTATATATTTATTATCTCCGGATCCTGCGTTTTTGGATCATGATCGAGCTAAGTATCACAACTTCTTCTACCCATCATGTATATTGTCCTTTTCATTCTGTGTTGAAATATAAACTTATTATATTAGTAGGCGAGATTTTACGAAAAAGGTTCTTTATATTCCTTTATATTCATAGCATAGGAGAAACTACTATTTTTTTTTTTCAATATCCCCTCGTTATTAGTTACTAACCCTAGTGATTGGATTTATATGCTTATTCTGATCGGAATATTCAAATGATTTTCATGGAATGACTATTCATCTATTGTATTTTCATGTAAATGAGGGGCAAGAAAGTTCTATGGAAAAATGGTGGTTCGATTCGATGTTGTTTAAAGGGGAGTTAGAATACATGTGTAGGCTAAGTAAATCAATGGACAGTCTTGGTCCTTTTGAAAATACCAGTGTAAGTGAAGATCCAATTTTAAATGATATGGATAAAGACATTTTTAATTTTAGCGACAAGTCTAATTACAGTAATGTTGATCATTTAGTCGGTGACAGATACATTCGGAATTTCATATCTGATGACACTTTTTTCGTTAGGGATAGTAATAGGGACAATTATTCCATATATTTTTGATATTGAAAATAAAAATTTTGAGATTGACAAACAACCGTTCTTTTCTAAGTGAACTAAAAAGTTCTTTTTATAGTTATCAGACTTCTAGTTATATGAATATTGCACCCCAAAGTGACAATACTCGCCACGATCGCTACATGTATGATACTAATTCTCATTATAGTTGGAATAATCACATTAATAGTTGTATTGACAGTTATCTTGGTTCTCAAATTTGTATTGATATTTATATTTTAAGCAACAGTAACAATTACAGTGACAGCTACATTTATAGTTACATTTGTGGCGAAAGCGTAAATAGTAATAAAAGCGAGAGTTCCAGTATAAAAACTAGCACAGATGATAGTGATTTTAGTATAAGTTCTAATAATTTAAATGTAACTCAAAAAATACAGGCATTTGTGGATTCAATGCGAAAATTGTTATGGATTAAATTATAAAAAAATTTTTAAAATAAAAATGAATATTTGTGAACAATGTGGATGTCATTTGAAAATGAGTAGTTTTGATAGAATTGAACTTTCGATTGATCCCGGTACTTGGGATCCTATGAACGAAGACATGGTCTCTCTAGATCCCATTGAATTTCATTCGGAGGAGGAACCTTATAAAGATTGTATTAATTCTTATAAAAAAAATACAGGATTAACTGAGGCTGTTCAAACAGGCACAGGTCAACTAAACTGGTATTCCCGTAGCAATTGGTGTTATGGATTTTCAGTTTATGGGTGGTAGTATGGGATCTGTGGTGGGCGAAAAAATCACACGTTTAGCCGAGTATGCTACCAATCAATTTTTACCTCTTATTCTAGTGTGTGCTTCCGGAGGAGCACGCATGCAAGAAGGAAGCTTGAGCTTGATGCAAATGGCTAAAATATCTTCCGCTTTATATGATTATCAATTAAATAAAAAGTTATTTTATGTAGCAATCCTTACATCCCCTACCACAGGCGAGGTGACGGCTAGTTTTGGTATGTTGGGAGATATCATTATTGCCGAACCCAATGCTTATATTGCATTTGCAGGTAAAAGAGTAATTGAACAAACATTGAATAAGACAGTACCTGAGGATTCACAAGTGGCTGAATATTTTATTCCATAAGGGCTTATTCGATCCAATTGTACCACGTAATCCTTTAAAGGGCGTTCTGAGTGAGTTATTTCGGCTACATGCTTTCTTTCCTTTGAATGAAAATTAGATTAGAGCCTTAGAGTCTTAATATTTAATATTTTTTAATAAGAGTATTAAATAAAACTTAATAAATTTTTTTATGTGTGGTGATCAAGTAGTTATTTAATTTATAGGAATCAAAGTCAAAATCCGAAGAATAGGATTTTGACTTTGGTAACATAAGATTGAATTGTAGAAAGAACCATCCGGATCATTTTTTTATCGATATTCCTGGTTACTAATACTAACTAGGAAATCTCTATTAAACAAAAGAGTGAATTCTTTCAAAAATAAAAGAGTGAATTCTTTCGCTTTCTTCCGTGGAATTAGTTAACAAGGTCTTGCATCTTTCTATATCTCCCGAAAAAAAATCCCCCACTAAGAATCCTTTTTGTTGGATCGTATTATAACAAATTCTTTGAGAGTTTTTAGGAAATACATTTAAAATTTTATTAAATTATGAAATTTATTAAGACAAGAAAAGATAATGACTACTAATACAAATAATAAAAGGGTGGATTATCGTATATATATATATTTCATGTAGAAAGATGAATTAGAAACATGTTGAAAGATGAATAGGTCCATTTATTTATATATTTATTGTATTTTATTAATTAATATATATTTCTTAAATTAATATATATTTCTTAAAACATATACTTATAGACTCCCTATCCCTATTAAGTATATATTTCTTAAAACATATACATATACTTATAGACTCCCTATCCCTATTAAGTATATATTTCTTAAATTAATATATATTTCTTAAAACATATACATATACTTTATGAATTGAATGGTGAGAAATGTTTTGCAATATCCCCTGAATTCAATTCACCATCAGCTCTTTCTTGTTCCCTGCGGTCGCCATTCTCCTCTTCGAAACGAAACCCTTTTCGGCATAGCCAAAAACGCCATAGCAAATCAATCTTTTCAAATCCTCCAAACCGTGCGTTGCTCTGCGACGGAGCAACCTGTGATTCATCAATTTCTCCTCCTCTTGCCGCCCCAGATGGCGAGTTTTGTCCACAAACTTGCTAAAACGCACCGGCGTTAAGAACAGCGGCGTCCCTCAAATCCCATCTCTTCCCCAAACCCACAGCCTCCCTTATTTCTCACCATAGCCATCTGGGCGCTCCCAAACCCGAATTCTCAGAAGACCCGGTTGCCCAATTAGGTCCCGCAAGCTTCCACAATGCTGAATCTCCCAATCCCTTCCCTATTTTCCCCAATTTCTGCTTAAATCCGATTTCTCCAGCTGGGTTCGATCGGTTGGGTGTTTTAGAGGCGGTCGAGGTGGAGTCCGATGATGTGAGGACGATTTGGGCTGACAGTGTGAAGAAGAAGAGGAAGAAGAAGATGAACAAGCATAAGTTAAAGAAGCTAAGGAAGAGTCTTTGCCGCAAGTCCAGAGCTTGATGTGGTAGTGAGAGGTTTAGAGTTAAATTTTATGAAATCTCAGAAGTTTTGAACACTAATTTTGTCATTCGGATTTTACCTTTAGAAGTAATATGCATTGCCTGAGAAATTGAATGGAATCATCAGCTCGTTTTAATTAAATTGTAGAATGTGAGTATTGTTGAATTTAGAATAAGATTCATTACACTCTTGGATTAACAATCTCATTTTACTAATCAAATTTGCTTCCTTTATTTTGGTTTTCGTAGATGTTTATAACGTGCAGTTCATTGTATTTAGAACGTGTTCAATTTGATTGACGAATGGCCTTATCTTGCATTAACGATAAGAATGCAGGCTTCCTTCACAAGTGATTGTGTGTATAGTTTATATGTGTAACAGTGTTAACAGTAGGCACGGATGCGGTCGCACCATTTTCATGTTTCATGTTACCTGCTGTGTCAATAAGTGCTAATTCATAACTCTCTTACTTGCTGTGTAGCCATCATAAGCTTCACATGAAAGAGAATCTTTCTGATATAGCGCTTTCCCTTTCTCTTACCATCCAAATGTTTGACCAAGTTTCTTTATTTTGTCTCAGTTTTTCATTTCTCTGAACTTTGATATAATTTGGTGATTGTTTGAGATGCAAGTTATACTTTTAAATCAGTTTTGTGGATATGAGAGTATTAGAAAGTACCTAGGTTGGTACATTAAGATAGATACCTAGAGTGCAAGAACATCATTTGATTTGAATTTCCATCATTTTGGATTACATGCTTGAGGTTAATGTTACTTCCCTTAATAGGTTATTAGACTGTCTTGCACTTATAAGCTATATTTAGTGGCCCAAAGCTAGCTTTCATGTTAATTTGAAGTTTGGTTTCCCTATTGTATCCTTGTTTGATTCAGTGGACCTTTTGTTGTTTTTTGTTTTGCTGAAAAGGTTTTTGCTGCTCTTATGTTAGGCGAGCATTAATGCATTTTTTTATGCTCCTATATTAGGTTGGTAGCCTTATGTCTACAAACAGTTCAATAGAACATCACATTTAATAGAAGTGACTTTGAGTCCCGTATGGTATATGAGAGAAGGGAATGGTTTTGTACATTGTCCCTCTTTAGATGATATAACCTCATGAGTATGGGGTAAAAAGCAAGATTGTTTGTGCTCTGTGCTGCTCTGATACAGGCTAGCTAAATGCTTGACTTTATGGCACGGTTGTGCTTTGGAATTGTTCCATGGTTCTATACAGCAAAATATTATAGACACATTTGATTTGTTTTTTAGGTCTCTATGTATTGATAGTGTATCTTTCTTGAGTTTCAAGTTGTATTCTAGGCCATCACATCCCGTCTGCCAGCACAACAAGATAACATCATAACACCCTGTTATTCTATTTGGCAGTTAGATTGGTTGGATGGTGCTCCCAGAAGACAAACTGTCAACTAGATGGGTAAATGTCCTTGCCATGCCATTTTCTTAAAATGGTTACTGTTTAGTATAGTAGCTAGTGATAGGTGTTGTGCAATGAGATAACTAAAGAAATGAAGATTTCAAAATTCGAAATTGTGATCCCTTGATCAAGTAGTTGAATGGGAATCCCTTTGATTCTAAGTGAAGCTGAATGTGTACTGCCTGTGTAACCGGTGACTGAAATATAATTTGCTTGTTATATTGAGTTGTTCTCTCTAGCTTTATTGCCTGGTTGCAGATAGATGTCTACTTAGTTCATTGTTCATGTTTTTTTAGAACTTCCCTAACTTTTTTGATGTTCTTGTTTGTGGTGTGTTTCTGATCATGTTCCTTATTGGCAATCCATTCTTCCCTCCTGGTTATATCTATTTGTTGTTGGTTTTAGTAGCAGCTATCCTTATTTCCTTCGGTCCTAGGTAATTCTCGGTTTGGGTATTCAATTACTCATGTTATCTTGCTTATCTTATTTGACTCAGTTTAGTTGCGTTTGAAATTGAAGCGAATTTCGTTGATATTTATGTTCGTAGTTCTTTAAAAGTACATGTTTTGGAGAACAGATGTGTATTACAATTAGAACTATAAGAATACGTAGTTTCTTAATTTAGGCCTAAGGATTGGATTGGATTGGAATGTAGAAGTTGATGTTTTCAGGGTATGTTGATGAAGAAATGAAAAAATTGTGGCCAGTTGGAGATAGAAGATGAATTACTCAAAACGAAATTCATTCCAATCCTCCCGAATATGTTATGATTCGAAGTAAAAAGTTTCCTTCATGCCTAATACCGTTCTAATCCCCTCGAGTCGAAATATTCTCATCTACTTTCAATATCTTTGAATTTTGAGGGTTCTATGTTCCAAATCAATCCTAAACACCAATCGAGATCTTAGGATACTATTCACTTTTATAAAATTCAAGACTTGGTTCATTAGATTTTGGTTCTGAAAAAGGGTATTTTGAATATTTGATACATGGAGAAATATAGATAATGTTAGTCTACACATAGGCCTGCAAGAAGCCCATATCCATTTGCTGGCCCAATATGTAATGGGGTAGTTTGGTGGATTAACTAGTTTACCTTTTGCTTGCATAATTTTTGCTTTTGTTGATGTTCAAAAGACCTAAACATACCCAATTTGGGAAGGGGAAAAGAAAGAAACAATGGATAAGAGTAGATGCAGAAGAAGAAAAACCCTGAAAGCGTAAAGGATTAATTGGAAACCAAGAAAGCGTAAAGGATCAATTGGTAGAATAGCATATGTACATCCTGCATCAGGTGAATTATATTATTTAAGAATGCTTTTAAACATGAAAAAAGGCGCAATAGATTTTAATGATATTAAAACTGTTAATGGTGTTGTGCATTCTTCATACCATGATGCATGTAAATATTTAGGATTATTAGGCGATGATAAAGAATGGTTAGAAGCTTTATCAACTGCTGAAAATGTTGCATCATCTCCTCAATTAAGACAACTATTTGTTACAATTGTTTTATTTTGTGATGTTGCAAATCCTCAAATTCTTTTTTATGCTCATTGGAAAAACATGTATGATGATATTTTATACAAACTGCAAAAAAAATTTGGAATTCCTAATATGGCTATACCAGAAGAAGAACTAAAAAATTATGTCTTATTTGAATTAGAATTACTTTTTAACAATGTTTCCACATCTTTGGACAAATATAATTTACCAATGCCTAATGAAAATAAAATGATAGAAATTAAAAACAAACTTTTAAGAGAAGAGTTAAATTATGATTGTGAAGAATTGTCCAAAAAGCATGCAATTTTAAAATCACAGCTTAACGAAGGTCAAAAATATGTATATGATATTGTGATAGATACTGTGGATAGAAAAAAATACGGTCTTTTTTTTTTTATATGATCATGAAGGAACTGGAAAAACTTTTTTGTGGGATACAATTATATGTAAACTTAGATCTGAAGGAAAATTTGTTTTAGCTGTAGCTTCATCAGGAATAGCATCCTTATTATTACCAGGTGGTAAAACAACTCATTCAAGATTTAAAATTCCATTAATTATTATTGATTCTTCAATTTGTCCAATAAAGAAAAAAACACATCTAGCTACATTAATTGAAAAAACTAATTTAATCATATGGGATGAGGCACCTATGAATCATAAATATTGTTTTGAAGCATTAGATAAATCACTTTCCGACATTTTATCACATCTGCAAAATTCAGATAAGAAACTTCCATTTGGTGGTAAACCTCTTTTACTAGATGGTGATTTTCGACAAATACTACATGTTTTACCTGGAGGAACCAAAGAGGATATAATAAATGCTTCCCTAAATAGTTTTTATTTGTGGTCCCATTTAAAAAAAAATTCATTTAAAAGAAAACATGAGATTGTCAAGAAATGATTTAAACATTGAAGAAAAAAAGAAAATCAGTGATTTTGCAAATTGGATTTTACAAATAGGTGATGGAAAAATTAATGATGCAAATCATTCAAATGACAGTGATACATCATTTATTCAAATACCTGAAGATTTAATAGTTCATCCTTTATAAACCCAATGTCACAGCCCGTTCCAAAATATTACATTCGTGGCTGTGAATGGACGAAATTGCCCTTAAGAAATACTAAGTATGTGAAGCTCAAATTGTTAATTATCTAGGTTCCTAAGTTTTGAAAATAAAATGGAATTTATTAAGGATGGAACTTAGATTTTTAGGTTAAAATTTTGTGGTTTGGAGTTGGGGATTGGAAAATGACCACGAGGGATCCCCACATCCCTCAATCCTCTCCCTATTTTCTGCATACTGTCTCTCTCTCTCCTCCCTCACGAATCTCTCTCTCTCTGTCACTCTTCTTCTCCGTTCGAACAAACCAACCACAAAACAACCTTAAACTTCCACCAACGACGGAGTTAAGACCACCATCGAACTCCTGGAGACTCCACGATCACGTAGACACCAATTTCAGGTAAGTTTTACTTCGGAAAACCTAGATTCTAAACTCCCCGTGGAAGAGCACTGTTCATCATCTTTTAAATAACTACGTTTTAGGCTAAAACAAGATCACAGCGAGCTTAGTGAGGTCCCAAGGAAGCTCGGAGTGCTTCGTTGGAAGTTTTTGGACGAAAGAACACGGAGATCGACGAGTTCAAAGTTTGGCCGGAGCTTTCGAGGCATTTTCCGGCGAATCCCCGGCGAGTTAGGAGTCGAGGTAGGTATCAATCTCTTCGTCTCGTCAAGTACTACAACTTTCCTTTTTGTTTCACTCAATTTCGTTGAGTATTGAAGAAGTTATACTCATTTGAAAAATACCCAGTTTCCGGCGACCTCCGAGGCTTTCGAGGCAGTTTCCGGCCAAACTACGGCGAACTAGGTGTTGGGAAAGGTACCATTCTCTTTGTCTCTTCAAGGGCTACAACTTTCGTTTTTGAATCACTTGATTTCGTTGAGAAATGACAAAGTTATGGCAATTTGAAAAACTGCCCGGAAAACGGCCGCCGGAAAAACCAGTCCGGCGACCCAAGGAAGAAGATGGTGCTACAGTAAAATAAAAAATAAAAATAAAAATATTTTAAAAATATGTCGACGTCCGTGACGTCGAGTAGATCACTGTGGTATATTCATATACCTAAATTGAACACCGTATGAGAAAGTTATTGAGGATTGTTGGTTAGGTGTTCGAATAACGTTTTATAGTTTTGGTGAAAATGTGAATTGATGATCCGACCGTTGGATCGTCACCAAACTTTGATACGTTGTAATACGTAATATTTAAGGACTATTGGAACTTACGGATTGGGAATCCGAGTTACGGATCTTCCGGAATTGGAATTGTAAGTCCATAATATAAAATGTTAACCGTCACTTAGTTTTGGAAATTGACGGAGATCCGACCGTTGGATGGTAATGAAATTTTAGGATGTTGTCCTAGAGGTATAATGTGGACCTCTAGAAGTTATGGATTTAAAATCTGAGGGGTGGATCTTCCGGATCAATCTACGTAGTGACGTATTTTATATAAGTTATGTATTCTATCGATATGAATTCTGAGCCTGGATTTGATTACTATTCTAGGCGGCGATCGTCATGACGCCTTGATGTGTGGTGCTAGGGAGTTGTTGGACGAACTCCAGGTGAGTGGGCAGTTTTGTTTTCCGTATATATATATATATACTTGACGTTTCCCAGAAATTGAATTGAAATGAAAATATGTTTAAAATGAAATGCATATGAGTTATGTGGAAAAACGGGAAGTGAAATACCATGCATAGAATTGATATGAAAAGTATATAGAAATGTGAGTTGAAATGCCATGCATGAATTAATATATGATGCATATGTATGAATTGGTGCGGTGGACGCACAGGTAAGAATTGATTTATGATGCATATGTATGAATTGGTGCGGTGGACGCACATGTAAGAATTGATTTATGATGCATATGTATGAATTGGTGCGGTGGACGCACAGGTAAGAATTGATTTATGATGCATATGTATGAATTGGTGCGGTGGACGCACATGTAAGAATTGATTTATGGTGCATATGTATGAATTGGTGCGGTGGACGCACAGGTAAGAATTGATTTATGGTGCATATGTATGAAATGGTGCGGTGGACGCACAGATGAATATTTAATTACTGTTATGATGATGATGTATATTGAGCTCAAATCCTGCACCATAGTTTAGTGCTTATAGTATTCACCGCATCGCACGCTCGCCTTGGATCCAAGTAGATGCTAGTCGTACAGACCACCGGGGGTGGTTCCGACATGCCAGTCGTACAGACCGTTAGAGGGGTTCCGACTGGTAGGTGACCTTAGATTATGTGCACAGATGATTGATGAGAGAAGCACTAGAGCGTAACTTGTGTGCAGAAGGCCGTACAGGTCACAGAGGTGACTCCGGCAGAGTGAGAGTGATAGATTTTGAGCTCTAGGTTCAACCGTACAGGGCTATTAGAGGGCCTCCGGTTGATTACTTCTTGCACCTGATATAATTACTGTTGATGCATTCATACTTAACTGATGAATTCCGATATGGCATGGCATATTTGTACTGAAAAATGTGGAGTAATGAATTGAAGTATTGAGAATATATATGTATAATTATATTTTACATTTCTGGGAAAGTATACAGGTTTTACGGAGAGGGGTTACAACGTTTTGAGAAATGTTTGGATTTGGAAAAGAATTGTTTTACTGACCCACTC